TTGGGGGGAATAAAAAATCCCCAAAATCTGGGAAATAGGCTGGAGCGCTGCCGGGGGTGTGCCGGCAGCGAGCGCGCATGTGAGCAGCGCCTCGCCCTCCCTTCCTGCGAGCAGCATCCTCCGCCCGCCCTGCTGGAGGTGATACAGGCGCAGCATCCATGGCCTGCCCCTAGCCGCGCTCCCCGCTCCTTCCTCCTCCTCATCCTCCTCTCCTCCTCCTCCCGGCCGGGAAGAGCCGAGGCCGGGCGCTGCTGAGCGGGGCTCGCCCTCTCCTGCGTTTTTCCAGGCTCCCCGGCAATTGAGGAATGCGCTTCTGCCACCATGATGGAAGGTAGGCGATGAGCCGGGCGCCTTCTCCCCCGGGCTGCTGGCGGGCTGGGGGAGCTCGAGCCTTTCCCGAATCAAAGATTCCCTCAATAATCGCTCCATGCGCCGCTGCCCCTAATCCCGAGGGCCGGAGGCTGAGCCCAGCGCCGGGCCGGTGATGGAGCCCCGAGCCCGTCAGGTCTCTGCAATTCCATCCCCAGCCTGGGTCGGCAGCTCGGGCTCTGCCCATTCCCGGTTTTCCACCCAGCTGCCGCTTCCTCCGCCGGCATTTGCATCCCGAAATCCCGATTTTTTATTTTTTTTTTTTTTATCCCGCCGAGCTGTCGCTTCCTCCGCCGGGATTTGCATCCCGAAATCCCGATTTTTTCTTATCCCGCTGTGGATGCGCGGCTGCCGGAGGGGATTCGGTGCTTTTGGCCGGGTGGATGAGCATCCTTTCGGTGGGAAACGAGGGAATCCGGACTCGAGATGATTTTTATTTTCCTTGCCGAGCCGCGGAGATGCTGGATCGGGGTTTTTCGGCATTAAAAACAAAACCCACAGGGATGAGGAGGGAATTTGGGCTCCGATGCTTCGGGGAGCTGTGTGTGATCCTGTGTGGGAAAAGCCTCTGGGCATGACAGGAATTTTATCCTCTGTCGTCTGTCTCGGCCGTATGTAAAGCTCTCCTTTATTATTTATCATCTGAATTCCTTCTGGAGCAGGATGCAGGGGAAGGATGCCTCGGGTTTAATTTTATTTTAGCAGAATGGATCCTCCAGGGCCAGCAGGAGCGAAATGGATGGAATTTTGGGGGAATTCTGGCCCGTTGGTGGCAGCAGCAGGGCCTGGCTCGGCAGAGCCTCTTCCAAGCCGGGGAGCTCCCCGGGATGACAGGCAGAAATTGGGAAATCGCTCCCCGGACTATCCCAAAATCTGGGGCTGCCCCTGCCCAAATTCAGCGGGAGAGGCCTGGGGCTCCGTGGGATTTCTGTGGGTTCAGGATCCTTCCCTGGCCTCAGGAATTCGGCCTCTCCTGGGCCGGGTTTTGGAGGATTTGGTGGGAAGAAAATGAGTTTTGTTGTGCTGTAGATCCCAGGAAAAGCCTTCCCTGCTCTCCCGGGTGCTGATGAGAGTCACAAGCCAGAGAGGTTTTAATTTTAGCCCGTGACATCAAAGCCATCCCACGACAGGCAGGTCATGGCGGGGAAAATGCCGTTAAAATCCCGGCTGCTCCCGAAATTCCGGCGTTCAGGGAGGAGTTCTCGTGGATAAACTGGAGCTGTCCCCTTGTAGGCCTTGCTTGGAGTTATTTATTCGGTTTTCAGGCTGCTTGGGGGAAGGAAATTGGGGTTTTGAGGCTCTTTGGGGTTTTTGGGTTTGGGGTTTCTTTTGGGTTTGGTTTTATTCCTCGCGGGTTTTGGCCTGGCAGGAGTTTTGGAGATGGATCCAGGGCTGGATCTGGCAGAGGTGGAATCACCTTCCATGACCCAGTCATGCACGGGGAAAAATTAAATACTCATCATAAAAACAGAATTATTAAACAGCTCGAAACGTTCCCCAAGTGGCTGATGCAAACCTAGAACAGAAGTCGGGAAATGAGAACTAATTCCTGGGTTTTTTCAGTTTTGAAATAGTTGGAAATTGGCTGGATTTGTGGGAGAGTGAAACTTCGATCTGAGATGCCACTGAAACTCTGGCCCCTTATTTAATTTTTAAATAAAATGATATTTATCGAATATTTAGATTTATTTAATATGAATACAATTAACTCCATGGTTTTGACAAGCATGGCTTAATTGGAGCTGACGCTTTAAAACGTGTTCAAAACACCGAGAGTTCCTCGCAGAGCATCTTAAAGGGGTTTAATTAGTACTGTCATTAATTCTTTAAATCATTTGTCCTGCTGGAGTGGTGGACACCGAGCTGGCAGTGGAGGGTGGGTGCAGGACCTGAGGCCACCCATGGGCAGCAGGAGGGACCTGGCTCATGGATCCTCTTTGGAGCCTTTTCCTGGGAAAAAAGAGAATTCACCGGGTTGGGAACGGCGCAGGATGAGCAATTTGTGCTCAATATATGGAATATTTTGTCATTCTTCTGGGAGATGCGAGAAAAACGTTTCTTTTTCATGGATCCCTAAAAGTCCCAATGATATCCCCAAAAAAAACAAGCAAAAGGGTTTTTTTTCCCCAGCCCCCCAGCCTTGCTGGAGGACGCTGAAGGTGTCTCCAGGAATGGAAATTCCTCCACTTCCATGGGGCAGGAGCATTCCATGGCTTTGCCGGGTTTGGTTTCACTC